TGAGCTTATTTGTATTGTTACTGTGAAAGCAGACCAGGTAAAACACGACTTTTCCTCACGTTGACTGAGAGGCGTTCTCCTCAAACCAGCGAGCGTGACGGATGGCAGCGAGGGCGCTCTGCAGCACCTTGATGTCCACTGAGGAGACAAGAAACAAAAGATTCATTTTTTTAAACAACCACAGAGCTGCACGCGCTGCGTTTGTGTCTCCAGACCAGGTGAAAAGTCTCACAGTGCAGCTCGGGGTCCAGTTTGCGCAGGTTAGGAGGGACAGTGGTGATGAGGATCTTCACTGTAGCGTCAGCTGAACTGATCTCGAAGCCGGTCTCATTGGTCAACATGGACAGCACTGAGAGGAGGAGTCAAACACTGTGTCAGGCACGTTTTACAGCTGATAAGCCAACAAGTCAAATGACTGTAAACCAAATGTTTTTATCCTGAAAAAGAAACATTTACTAAATCAATTTGAATGAAAACTCTGAACATTTAGGACACGGTCAGAGGAGGACTCGCCCACAAATGCAGCCATTCAAACACCACAAGTCTGTTTACCTTCAGTAGGATCTTGTGTGCGAAGCGTCTCCACTACTTTGTTACCGAGGGCGGCCACAGCCTCCACTGTAAAGAACAACGACCCTCAGAGCGCGACACGAAGGGCACAAGAACAACAGCAAACAGAGCTAACAGGGTTTATATGAAACAGCGACCGATACAAAGGTTTTAGAAGCCCCTCCTTTCAGGTTGTCTCTATGAGCACCATCACACTGATGGATGGCTCAGAAACATCTGCTCAAACATCTGGTTACAGCCCAAACTACATGTGGCTCCAAAACCAAGATTGAAACCTGATGCATTTGAAACCCTGCTGGGGGATCTGGGCTTTCCACCAATTCCTCTTAGAACTGAAGAAGCTATACAGTTTTCCAGCAACCATTAACAAAAGACCAACAGTTAGCCATTTTAGGAGTATTACCAAATGGTTTTGCGGGAAACAATAAAAAGTATCTCTTAAGAATCTTGCTTACAGCAGCACTAAAGTGTGTCACTATTAAATGGCTGAATCTTGACCCACCTTCATATAATATGTGGATTGATAAAGTAAGAGAAATTTACCAGATGGAGGAAATAACATCTGCTCTGCGGATTCAGAGAGAATTGTTTACTGAGTGTTGGCGACCCATACATGCTTTACTGTTTCAATAATTTAGCATAGGTCTGTTTCGTTTTGTTCATTTATGGCTAGATTTGTCACATGTTATTTACTATTACATAAAGTTTTTGTTTTGTTTTCTTCTTGTTGTTGTCTGTTTGTTTGCTTTCCAGTTTTGTTTTGTGCTTCCTAATTGCAGTTCTTATTTTAATCTACATTTCTGCATTGTGGTTCCTGTAACTGTCCTACTTGTGAACATTGACAATGTTGTAAATTATAATAAAAATTGAGTTAAAAAAGAACTGAAGAAGCTTCAAAGATGAAACGTCTTCAAGAAACCTAAACAAGTCCAGATGCTTTTCTTTCCGAGCTCCCGGGCTGATGTGCCTGAGCAGCAGCTTCTCTTTGGACAGTAATTGTGCCATAAATGACTCACATGTAGGGAGAATCTTGAGGATCACAACCAGGTCAGCAACATTATGTCCGGTCGTCATGGTGCCCTTCTTGTAGGAACCCACCTGACGCACCTCTTCAATTTGCTGCAAGTCGACACGTACAAGATTACTGACAGGAAAGCCATTATTATTATTATTGATTAGCTTATAATATAAATATGAAATCTGTCCAATGGAAATGAAGCTGTGTAGTGCACAGAGCACTGTTACTGCATCCAAGTGATTCAGTGTTGATGTTTCAGCTCTGAGCTGACACACACACACCAGCCACACCAGCAGCGCGTGGACGTCACCGAAGCCGTTACGGCTCATTCGCTCATGTTCGACTCACCACTTCAAAGTTTCCAGGTGCAACGATCAGGTTGTCGATCACGTTGTTGATCTTTGTGACCAGGGACAGGATGGAAGACTGACGGACAACGAACAAGGTTTGTGTAAGTGAACTTGAACAGCAGGTCAGTTGCACGGCTACTGGGCGAGTGCGGGCTCAGACTGACCTGCTCTGCAGGGGTGGGGCTCAGGTCCTGGTTCCTTTTCAGCAGACACTCACTGAACGCCGTCTCATCAGGTGCAGGCTTCACTCTGGGGAAGGCCATCTCACACTTGTGACAAACAACAGTCTGCTTGAGTACTTGCCTTTAGAACCACCCTATACTATTAGTATACACTGACTGCTGGCTGACGTGTCTAATTCCCACCACC